CTACGTAGTTGTTGTCGCGGTAGTCGTAGTTTTGCCACCCACCTGTTACACTCGTCGTGCTGGTAGCCGTTCTTGTCAGTACGATGAACAATCATGTTGTACAATCTGTGTACCATCCCTGTCCTATCATCACGGACCCCTGAAGCACTTCGAAGTTCGAGAAAAGCCGGGCTCAGGGCCTTCAGGACAGGGTCGCGGCATCAAGCAAAGCGATCTTCTTTCGAGTTTTGGGACTCCGGGGATCTGGACTATGGAGGACCTGTAGAGCTAGCCGTAACTAAGGTCGGAATTTTCCTTCGCGGTTAACCCTTTTGAAAACCCTACCCCTGGCAGCACCCACACTTCCTGAACTCGCCGGAATGCCCTGCGGTACATTTCTACGTCCACGTCCGGCAGCCCCGAAACCGAGGATCTATGTGACTACGACCTTAAAGCATATCTCCAGTCCCCTGGACTTGGCCTGCAGGGGTGGGGGTCAAGGCTTCCGCTTAAAACGTAGGCTTTGGGGCGGAATGCCAAAGCCCCAAATGATCATGGCCGAGAGTCTAAGATGACCGTGGCCCGCGGTGTCGAACCTAGCAAAGAAGTCCTCGATGTCGTTGATTTATCGTTGAGGGTTTCGGGCTCAGGGTTCAGGGCATACAGTGAGGCTTGCAGTTTCGGGCCATCAACACGCTTTGTTGCACCAGACTTGGTCTTAATAAAACAACAGCAGCTACAGCAGGGCTGATCGCAAGAGTCATAGCGAAACGGGGTAATCAGAGGTGCCCTGCGCACGGGCTTTCAGGTACAAGTAGCCAGGGTTTAGGGTTTAGGGTTTAGGCCCATGGGCAAGACTCGCGGCGCAACGATGACCCATGCTGAATCTCAGGCTTTACGGGTTTTCGGCTCAGAGTGCGGGGGTCAGCACATATGGAATCACAGCCTTTCTTGAGAATGAGACACAATCATCACACCTGTAGCTATCAGGATCCCGTTGCATCCCCCAATCCCAGAGAACCCAATACCCCTTCAACTAAGGAACAGAGCTTACATCATACATATGAAGGCCTCCATAGTTTTTAAGGTATGTTCTTTAAGTAAGGGGTATTGGGTTCTCTGGGATCGAAGGAAAGATGCTTATGACCTTAGGCATTAAGCAGGTTGCGAGGTTCAAGCGGCACTGAGCTCGCTGTTAGCCAACTCCCCCGACGCTGCACCACAAGATACCATACTTCCCATAGCTTAAGGTCCTTAAGGTAACGCAGGATTTATATCATCAACAGTTTGAAGAGCTTTCTTTACTTGCAGCAGCTTAGAATACTCGATCTCGGAAGCCCAGAACGACACAAATCAAAGATACACTGCTCGCCCCGACCCCGACACGAGATGCGTGGGACCCCTACGGCATAGTAAACGCCTAAGTTGGTCCAAACCCTTAACCCGGAAACCCTCACCCCACATCCAAACCCTAAACCCAGAAGCCTCCACAATATCGCAGAAGCCCGGCACGGAAGCTCGAACAGTGAAACCGAAAAAACCTAAGAATCACAACTCTGAGAGACAAATAGGACAAAGCCTCTCTCTGAATCTTCAGAAAAAATTACATGCCATATGTAGATGCAAAAACTCAACAAAATGGCCCAAAGCCCTAAACCCAGTGTGCGCGATCAGGCGGCCCTCACGGTCCACTTGTTGGCCTTTCAGAGGCTTGGGGACTTGGGCCTCTCGAAGTTAGGGCTTTGGGATTGAAGTTGTTTTGGGGGGTTCAGGGTTTCGGGTTTAGGGTTCTTAGGTTTTGGGTTTTAGATTGTCGGTTTAATCAATGGTTTATCACCGAATTAAGGCTTTAAAGTTTGAAGTTTTCGGGTTTAAGATTAAAGGTTTTCAGTTTTCCAATTGGTTTAGGGTGTCTCCTTTACACCCTCAACCCAGAAGGCGTTGGGATTTTGGGCTAACCATTCCTCGAAAACCCCCTCAAACTCTGCGCCCCAAACCCTACACCCCTGAAACCATCCTCCACAACCCCACAGGCTCAACTCAACCCTGCAGTCTAAACCTAAGCCTAAGCGAAATGAACCCCAAAATCCTGGTAGCTAGAGGCTGCAACATGGGAGCTTCAAAACATCAGGGCACCTGATTCATGGACGCTTGAAGGACGTTGGAGTAATGGGAACCCCCCCGAAACTCTAGGAGTCTGCCGAAACCCTCAACCCCAAACCAGCGTCCCGGCCTTAGGGTTCAGGGTTACCCTAAACCCTAAGCCCCTACGCTACCAACTGAGGGAAGCCCGCCTCGAAGTAGTTCCACCTGGGCGGGAGGGGTTTGGACTTTAAGACTCGGATGTGAAGCTAGAAGGGTTGCAACATAAGGGCCTTAGTTTTCCATGGGGATCGGGTTTTTGGTGCGGAGAACCCGGGCAGGAGCTCGGAGTTCTGACTGGTCATGCATGGCAACTTGCTTGCAAGCTTGGGGGGTGTTAGGAATTAGAACTGATGCCCTATGAAACTCTATGATTATGAAGATTAGGCCCTATTTTCTTGAAAACCCTGCAAGATCTGCAAGTGCCTGCAACACTAGCAAAACTCTTTGGCTGCCTTCTAGGAGTACGGCTTAGGCTTGTGCTCTCGATATGGAGCTCGCGCTCCCAAAGGCAAGTAGCGCTTGGAAATTGTAGCTCAGAAGCTGTGGCGTTTTGGAGTTCAGGGGTCACGGGGTCCAAAGGTGCACATTTCAAGGTGGTTCAGGGCTGAGGGTTCAAAATTTAAGGCAAACGATATCTCACACATGTATGTACACATACATGTGTATGTATCTGATGTATCTGCACATACATGCATACATTCAGACAGACATACGCATTGGTATGTATTTATGTATTGAAACCTTACAGGCTCAGAGCCCCTTTGAAAACTGGGGGGGAGGTCGCCGAGCCACAAAGGAACGAAGAAGCCAGTAGCGAGCTTCTCCAAGTCACTCATTTCGATCTCGTCCTTCAGGTTACGTGTAGCATTGTTCCGATTATTTTTGCTATTCTGATTACACTTACTGTCATTCTACTTGTTGCCATTGTTGTTATGATGATTATTATTATACCAATACTAATTGCTAAGTTCCTCATCTCGATCTCGCCATTCAGGTTAGGGGTTTCGGCTCTCACGCTCGGACAATGCAGGCGGGGCTTGCGGTCTTAGGTCGGCTTGGTGAAACTGGCTGCAAGAGAAAGCGTGGACGAAATCATGGATGCCAGTTTAGGGGTTTAAGGGTTGAGGGTTACGTGTGGTTTAGGGCTTGAGGGTTGAGAGCTCCATGTACTGAGGGGTTGAAGGCTTCCGGTGCTTATTCTGCTTTCGGCGCTCACAGCCGGACGCTGGCGAGGCAGGTTCGACGCGATTTATGGCAGAAGTGAGGCCGGCAGGGTTCAACTCCAGCCTTTGGGTTTAGGCCCTTAGGTTTTGGGGTTGAGGGTAGGGTCCATGATCGTATTTGGAGCCTTCTGGGCTTGCACAGTTGTAGCCAGAAGGGAATGCTATGCCTTTGCTGTCGGCTCCTGTATTTCCATTGAGATAATTAAGCAGCGCCCCACATATGGAAGTGTTACATCTGCCGCCAAGATCACACCCTGCAACCGTCCTTGACAAAGAAGTTGCTCGCCTGAGTTTCGTCGCAAGCCACTGCAATTCATGTCTGTCTATTTGAGCAAACAGTTTGACAAGAGCACACCGCAGCCTGTTCGAGCGCGAGGGCATCTACTGGGCACCCGTGTACCGGGATGAAGCATCATGCAAAAGAGTTCAAGATTGAATACATATCGGCTCAATCGAGTGCACACGGAAGCCCGGCACTCCTTTCGTCACCTTGCAGATTACGCTCGTGTCTTTGAGGCCCACAACTCGAGAATTAGACCAGTATCGAACCTCAGCGACGCGCTTGGTAACCTATACAATCCTTTCCAATACCGTTCATAAAAACCCTTCAAACCTACAAAGTCGTAGACAAGGCTAGAAAGCCCTCCAAGAGACAGGCTCTGAAAACCCTAGGCCCCCAACCCCAACTCCACATCCTGTCATCCTGAACCCTAAACCTTCAAAAACCCTAAAGGAAAAGGGGTGTGACGCGCATCCGGGCAGCCTTGGCTTGTTTCGACTTGCGCTCCTGGCGCAGCCGGGTGCTTGAGGGCCCGAGGTTTTGGCTGTTGGGTTCTTTTTTGGGGGTTTAGGGTTTAGGGGTTCCATGAGGGTTTCGGTGCTCACTCTGTAGGAATTGAGCAGGATGGTTGTCAGGCTTCCTGGTGCTGTTTGTGGGTTCCACAGTGTTCTACAATGCAGGGTTTCATGGTGTCCAGGTTCAGGTTTCAGGGGTAGGCTTGAGGCGTTGGTTCTTCGACATCTCGGCAATAGATTCGGCGTCGCTTGGCACCTCAACACACACATGGGGGGGGGTAGGGAACACGATCAGGGCTGAAATCCTCCAAAGCCCTACCTGTGACACTTCCAGCAGTGCAGGGCTTTCCTTCCATGGTCTTAGAATTTGGGGTGTAGTCGATTTGCCATCACTTACCGCTACTGTGTTTGGTTTCAGTGGGTTGTGCCAGGGTTCCCGAAGGTTTGCCAGGGTTGGGTTCTCAAGAGATCTCCTGATTGAGGCCATGTTGGGCATCAGGGTTTCTTGACACTCACACTCGAACAAGCCTGGCAAGGTCTGTAGCGAAACTGGTTTTCGGTGTCAGGCAAGGCAAATGACACGGCACAAACAAATGTACAACAGTTTCAAACTGCCCCATCTGACAGCAGTCTACCAAGACAGCAAACAACCAGGGTTTAGAGTCTAGGGCTTTTCTCCCTCTCTCATGGCTAAGATCTATGCTCAAAAAGCGAGTAGGGTTTAGGGTTAGGTATACTCTAGGTTGAGGAGGTGCGGCAGGGCACGGCTTCGTGATAAGAACCAAAAGATCTCGTAATCAAGTGTCCTACAGAGAGAGTTCAGCTTACGCCAAGCCTCATCGAGAATCGCTGGCGCGCCTGCACCGTCTTCATCACGATATCCAACTCCATGTAGTCCAGCGTTCCATCCCCGTCGGCGTCGATAAGCCGAAAGAGCTGCTCCACTTCCTCAGGACATGGGGAGCTTTCGGGCGAGGACTGCGGAGGAGTTTGGGGACGGCTTCGGGTTATTGGCAATCTCACAAGCAAGTATACAGTTTAGGGCAGGGCATGAAGCTCTTCAGCACAAAAGCACTAGAGCCCCAAAGCTCGTGGCCCTAAACAGCGAGACGACCGAGAGAACCTGCAAGTCCACACCCAAAGCCCAGGGTTTCGGTGCTCACACTCGGGTTTAGGGCTTAGGGAGGCATATGGTCGCAGAGCGGCTGGGTTCACGGGTTTAGGGCTGTTGAGAGCTTTAAGGAGCCCATCCTGCTACGCAGCTAAGATAAAGCTTCAGGACGGACTGGAAGTAAGACTTGCGACTCATCGGAACTTGGTTTCACCAACGAGTAACATCATACGTCATTGCTACACTGCTCAGCAAACGTCTGGCGAGGTGTTCTTCTCGTTGCCTTCTCCGCCAGCCTTCTTACGGACAGAGTAGCCACCGTGCTCTCAACACATGGGGCCCGTCTTGGACAAACGCGCAGACTGGAACCTTAAACCCTAAACCCTGAACCTCAAACCCACCAGCCCCGCGCCTTGAGGTCCGGCGGTGGTGTCGAGATGGACGTGCGGAGGTTGCCGGCGAGCGACATGAAGGTGATACCTGCACCGGCTTGAAATGTTCGCTCTGCATTGCTCAGCGAAATATTTCAGGGCTTGGGGTATACGGGTCAGAGGTGCCCCGAGCCTAGGGCATGATGTGTAAGTTTTTGGCAGCTGAGAGTGTTACAAGTCGCCGGAGCTCAAAGCTGGGCTGGCATTGAGTTTGGGTATTTCACAGTTCCTGCCGTGGTCCCGCTTTCAGAGATTCGTGGCGCGATTCCGGGTTTAGCATTTCGGATTGTGCATTCGTTAGGACACGTTCGGGTCTGCCGGTTGAGGTACTTGTGGGGCTTAGCACATGACCTGGCTGTCTTATGCAACCCTCCTAATCGGGGCGATTCCCCTGCAACCACCCAAAACTTGCACCCTACATCCCAAAACCCACTACACAGGGGTCCTTGATAATTACTGTGGACCTATTGCTAATTGTTCTGACACCTTCATTACTACCAGAGTCGCCCTGCCACCGACGTGGAGCTTTCGACCCTGAATCGTCGGAAGTGTAAGGTCAAACCTGTCGAAAAATGCCACTAATGTCGGGGTCTGAGTAAGTAGAACAGTGCTTTAGGATACATGGTAGCATAATCAACAACCAGGAACCCTTAAGGAATAACCGGCAGCTGCGTTACCAATGAGCCTCCAGGCCCACGAGCTCCATGAACAAAAACCAAACGAAGACGTTCAGGGTAAAGCTCGGGGCTTAGGGATCAGGGTTTAGGGGTTTAGGGATTTAGGTTAGGGGTTTACGCTCTCGCAACTCGGACTCTGCCAAGCTTAGGGGTTTAGGGTGTAGGAGGCCCCGACCTCTTGAAAGGATTCCCCCGACATGTTCTTATTGAGCTTAGCATCGAGGCGGTTTCAGGCAAAGGCAGAACCAACCACGATCGCGACACATGTAGGACCGGGAGCAGCGAAATAGTCTATTTAGTGCGAGTTTCTCATGAACTGCGATCTATGTGCTGGAGGCGGAATCCTACACTTTCGATTCCTGTGCGACACTGCTCCCCCGTCTTTAGAAGGAGGCATTCGGGCCTTTAAGTTTTCAGAACCGATCACAGCCGGGGAAAGTGTAGTTCAGACTCCAACCGAAGCCTGAAGGTCTAGGAACTGGGATGCAGGGAAAAGGCAGACCCCAAGTTAATGAGAGTCCCACGTCTAAAAACAGGGAATCTCATAAGGATCCTGCTGCGACAATCCTGGCGGTCTCAAAGTTTAACCATAAAGACCCGAAACCCTGAACCCGAGAGCCGACAATAGCGGGGAGATGGCTTGATGGAGGCCCTCTTCGGGTCAGGGGTGGGCCTTTCATCAGCTCCTCCGCATCGATGGAGCCATCACCACTCTCGTCGAACTTGCTAAAGAAGTCTTTCCTCACATCTCGACTTTAGCTTCGGGTTTCTGACACAGGAATCAGGGTCAAGGGTGTAGGATTTGAGGTATAGGTTTTCCGGTGTAGAGTTTGGGTGTAGAGTTCAGGGTATAGAACAAAGAAGCAAGAAGGCTCCGTGCTTTTGTCCCATGAAGCAAAGCAATATATAGTAAGGTATCTTTTCCAGTGCCCATACTCGGGCATTGAAACCGAATCCTAACATTGCTTAATACTCTGAAAGTGCATAGCTCGGAAATGACTCTTCTTCTGCAGCGTCGGTGTCATCTCCTCCTATGCCACGGCAGCTACAGCTCCACCTACAGCTGCAGCTACAGCGGCGACAAAAGGATGGGCAAGAGAGTAGGCTAAGTGGTGGCATATGTAACAAGTTCATGAACTCAAGTCCCGATTCCCTAAGCCCGAGTCCATCAAGCCGGAAGACAAATTCCACAATGCCACAAAGGCTCGATCGCACTTTGCGGCTGCTCATGTAGTCCTTGGCCACAAAACCCTTTTTACTCAGAGTTTTGGTTTAAGGCTTGAGCGATTGCCACTGAAACCTTTTTGGAAACCGGACTTGATGAGTGCCAGCATTGCCTCTTCTGCCGTTTTTCATCCGAGGCCCGAGAAAGTCAGCAGACAACCACTCCACCCCTCTAAGAGAGGCACTCCACGTAACGACCACCGAATGTTGAAGCCAAACATCACATTTGGCAGCTCCAACAGCACACAATCCTGAACGTCGGGATCCACCAGGACATCAATGCTAAAGACATGCTTTGTGACAGTAGCTGCAAGCCTGAACAAGATCATCGACTTGAAAACTTGCCACTCCAACCTCTCCATCCAGCATCACTGCCCTTAGACTGCCCTGATACAGGACGACAAAGACAGGCGATTAAACCCTGAACCCTGAACCTAGCCCTTGGTGCTAGGCTTTAGAGCCATAGCGGGAAGCTGAGTGCCCCCACCCGCCTGCAAGCTGCATTAACTTATCGGGCAAAAACCTTCGCCCTAAAACCTTGGCACAAAGTTTTGACAAGGGTGCTCCAAAGGCCTGAAGCCCGAAATACGCAAATCAACACTGTCGGGATGAATGCCCATTTCCCGCGCAGCTTGGAGGTGTAAGTCTACGGTGCTACATTCCAAATGTCTTGTGGGTATACTGCACAGTGTGCGTGATCCTGCCACCTGAATGCATAGCAGCCTCTTTGAGGGACCCAGCTGACCCAACATCCTGGAATAAAGTCCTGAACCACTACTGCCTAACACTACTGCCTTCACCGTCCACAAGACCCCCTCTGGGTCATCCGGCCGCGAAAGACGACAGAATCGTGAGGCTTCTCCTCAGTCGTTTGGCAGCTGGGTTGGGTTCAGGATCTAATGTAAGGGCCTTTATGATTAGAATAAGCTTTTGGGGTATACTATACTATGTTTATTATAAGGAACCCCCAAAACAGAACAGGTAATTATTAAAGCCCCTAATTACCCTGTTGGGGAGCTTCCGCGGTTAAACGTTTACGGATCCCTGAATTCGAAACTCGAGCAGAACAAGGTGCGGAATTCGGGCATCGCAGTGTTAGGAACATCCAGGCGCAGAGCTTGTCGGAATTCGCGGAAGGAGAGACAACAAACAAAGAGAGAGTGGGAGTTCAGTGGAGTGGTACCGACGGAAAGAGCTAGGTACAAAAGGTTCTTGAAACGCTCCAACGACAACCGCTTGCGGTCAACACGTACTACTATGAAGCATGACAATTGATAGTGCTAAAGCCACGCAACACTACGACCGAATAACACAGCAAGTACATCAACATCACATACTCAAGCAGACTGCCACGACAAAGCTATGAACGAGCATGAACAGAGGGGCAAAAACGTCGCATGACAGGTGGTGCTACAGGAAACTACGATCTAAAATGTGACTGCATACTACGGCAATATCACACAGCCGCGGGGTTATACCGATCCAAAACGCGTCATGTTGCAGCACTGTGGTGTAGTTTCTTGCTTCATTGTGGTATTGCCATTGCTGGCAGTCTATGGAAACCCACATACTGCTACAAGGCCTGCCACAAACGAAGCGGAAACGAAGCCAAGCCCCATCTAGCGGATCCCGAAAGCCATTCGAGCCTGTCCGACTTAGGAGGGCTCTATGGCTCCATAAAATAGAAAGTGCTAGGTTTTTGTGTTTAAGTGAAATGACCCCTTTCACTCCGCTGCTGGTCTAAACCTAAAAATTTAGGGTTTAGTGCTCATGGTTCTTTCAAGGGGTTACACTCGGCCAAGGGGCTTTTCCAACTCCGTCATTTCCTCGAAGTCCTTGTTGATCCACGTAGCCTGAGAGGTGTACGCTTCGGTGGTCAGGGCACCATTCAAAGCTCCGCTTATCCTAAACCCTAAACCCTAAACCCTAAACCCTACACTACTGCGGGGGGCCTGCAGATCATTATCTGGAAAGAAACAGAAGCTGCGATCCCTTAAGCTTTGATCTCCCAAGTCGTAAATGAAGATCCTCTTTAGTCCAAGGGAAAACAGAAAAGATCCCAAAGGCCATTTGCATATATATATATATATAGATATAGATATACTTCTTTTGAATTTTAGTTATATGTACTTGTGCTACAAATGCCCACAGAAGCCCCGAAAACATTCGAAGGAGCCTTGAAAGTCACCGCAGGAAGCCCATCGCAAAGTTCCTTGAAGCCCGCTGAGGCCTCCCGCCCCTTGGGTTTGGGCTTTAAGGTTTAGGGGAGGACTCGAAACCTCCAACCAGGAAACCCCGTGATCCCTGCATAACTGTGTAGCCACATCCTAAATCTTTAACCCCAGGACTTATACCTTTGCCTCCAAAACTCAAACCCTTTTTGTTGGAAAACTCAATCCTGCATACCGTCGGCATGCAGAAACCGTTTGCAACCCATAAGGAACCCTTATAGGACTGAAACACAAAAGGGCAAAGCCCAGCGTCAAATCGTATAGGACCCATGTGACAGGCAGCTAAACCTAGACCCCGAAATCAAAAAAAAAAACTTGAGATCCTAAAGCCTACAACCCTCAAGCCCTCAACCTTGAAAACCCAGAACACCCCGTAGAACCCTGAGATCCTAAGCCTAAACCCTAGACCCTAAACCCTAACCCCCCAAAC